CCATCTGACTATGGGTGGTAAGTTGTGCTGAGAGCTAATTTTACTCTGTAAAGCTTGAATAGCTCCTTCCAAAAGGCACTGACAAAAATTGTGTCCCTATCAGAAACAATGGACTGTGGTAACCCATGTAACCTGACCACATTATCCATAAAGAGTTGTGCTATAGAAGCTGTTGTATAAGGATGTTTCACTGCCATGAAATGAGCATATTTGGTTAATCGGTCCACTACTACAAAAATAACACTGTAACCTTGGGATCATGGAAGACCCTCTATAAAGTCCATAGATAGATCCATCCAAACTCCTTGAGGTAATGGTAAGGGTTGAAGTAAGAATGCAGGATGAGTGTTAGAGTGTTTAGCATGTTGACAGACATCACACTGCTTGATGTAGCTTTCCACAGCCTGTTTCATCCCTTTCCAGGAAAAGTGATTTTTCAGTCTTTGATAGGTGGCAGCAGTGCCAGAATGTCCACCAATAGTTGTGGAATGGAAACTAGCAATTAGCTTAGTTTGTAGAGCTGAATTGTTGCCAATCCAGAGCTTGTTATGGTGTCTGATCAACCCATTATCCAGACTATACCCTGCTGGATCAGGGCTAGTAACTGCCAACTGTTGAAGCAACTGCTGAGCTCTAGCATCTGTTGTATATGAATTGCTGACCTCCTGGACCCAATCAGTCTTGACCAAGGAAACTGCCTGTAATGTATGGAGATGGGGTACTCTGGACAGAGCATCAGCAGCTACGTTCTCCTTGCCCTTCTTATAGACGATTTTAAATTGAAGTCCCATGAGTCTAGTCATGGCCTTCCTCTGCATTTCTGAGTGAAGATTTTGCTCAGCAAGATAGGATAGGGATTTATGATCAGTTAAGATGGTGAACTCTTGCCTCTGTAAGTAATGTTTCCATTTCTCCACTGCCATAATTAAGGCTAGAAACTCTTTTTCATAAATGGATAGCTTCTGATGTTTCTCTCCTAGTGCCTTACTTAGATAAGCAATGGGCTGCCCAGATTGCATAAGGACTGCTCCAATTCCTTCCCCACAAGCATCAGTTTCTACTGTGAAGGGTTGCTGAAAATTTGGCAGTGCCAGGACTGGAGTAGTTGTGAGGGCTAATTTGAGCTTATCAAAGGCTTCTTGAGCTATTGGGGGCCACTGAAATTGCTTGTGCTTGAGTAAGTTGGTGAGTGGTTTGGCCATAACTCCATAACCCTTTACAAATTTTCTATAATATCCTGTGAGGCCTAGAAAAGCCCTAAGCTCTATCATGGTTGTTGGTTGGGGCCAATGTAACATGACATGAGTTTTCTGAGGATCAGTTGCTACTCCTGCAGCCGAAATGATGTGACCCAAATACTCTAGCTGTGTTTGAGCAAATGAACATTTGGATTGTTTAAGGTATAACTGATTGGTCTGCAACACTTCCAATACTTGTTCTATAAATGAGGATATCATCCAGAAATACTAATACAAACTTCCTCAGAAATGGCTGGAGAATTTGGTTCATGATGCATTGAAAGGTAGCAGGTGCATTGGTTAGGCCAAAAGGCATTACCTTGAATTGATAGTGGCCATGATGAGTCTTGAATGCAGTTTTATACTCATCTTCTAGCAACATTCTGACTTGGTGGTACCCTGACCTCAGATCCAACTTAGTGAAATATTCTGCTCCTTCTAATTCATCCAGAATTTCTTCAATGATTGGAAGAGGAAACCTGTTCTTGATTGTCATCTCATTGAGTTTCCTATAGTCCACACAGAACCTCCATGTCCCATCCTTTTTCTTCTCCAGCAGTACCGGAGAGGCAAAGGGACTGTGACTGTGTGATGAGCCCAGACTGCAGCAACTGCTTGACTTGAGTTTCAATTTCAGTTTTGTGCTGTGGAGAGTAGTGATAGGGTCTGGCATTGATTGGAATAACGCCTGGTATGAGTGGGGTAGAATGGTCATAGCTTCTCTGTGGTGGTAAAGTTTGTGGGTCCTGAAATACTGTGTGATATTTGGTCAAAATTGTTTGCAGGTCTAGGTTGGTGAGTTTGGTACTTGGAGTGTCAGGGTTGGGTTCAGAGGTTTGCTGAAGCATGACAAAGGCCCAGGTGTCATTGCCTTTGGTAGCCTTATAGAGTTGGGTAGGTGAGATGGGTGTGGCTTGTAAGGGTGGGGTTGGGTTTGTAGGCCTTGGATGGTGACTGTTTTGCCATCATGTGTAAAAGTGAGGGTTTTGTTGCTCCAATCACACTGCATGGGGCTATGTAATTTAAGCCAATCAAAGCCAAAAATAGCATCATAAGGACCCATATCTATGACTAGCATGTCACTATGGAGAGTATGACCTTGAATATACCATGGCAGATTAAGTACCTTAGCTTGTGCATTTAACTGTTGCCCATTGGCCAACTTCACAGTTTTAGTAGTGACTGGTATTGTTGGTAGATTGGCCATGGCCACAAAGCTTGAACTGATAAAGTTGTGTGAGCTTCCTGAGTCCAGAAGGAGTAGCATCACTTTGTTCTTCACCAGAGTTCTCAATTTGATGCTGTTATCAGTGTCGACACTTGAGAGGGCATTGAGGGATAGCTGACAAAAGTCCTCAGCTAAAACATCTTCCACTGCTAGGGTATTGAGAACTTCTTCAGTGATCTCCTCCTTGTCCAGTGGGTTTACCACAATGGCATTCCGCTGTGATTTAACACGTTTAGAGCAGACATCCTGATGACCAGGTTCATACTTGTCCCCACAGAAGTAGCAAAGGTTGTGTGCTCTTCTATAATCCCTCAACTGTCTGAGTCTTGTGAGGTGTTGAGAAGATTGATTGTCCTACTTTGGTGGCTGAAATATGTTTGCTAGTGATGGTTTTGTGGTTTTGGTCTTGTTCCTGTCAATTGTTCTCTACTGGATCTTGGCAATCAAGGCAGCTCTGTCTACTGTTGCGGGTACATGAGGTTCCACAGTAGCTCTAATCTCCTCCTTCAATCCATCCACATACTTGGTTGCAAAAAAGAGTTCATCATAGTGACAATTATGCATGGTAACATCAATTTGTAGAGATTGAAAGGCATTTGTGTATTCCTCAACAGTGCCTGTTTGCTTGAGGGATAACAAGTCATTGAGGGCTTGCCTGAAATCATCAGCACCAAACTTGTCCAGTATGAGGGAACAGAAGGGCTGCCATGTAGGCACTGCATGGTTTTGCTTGTAGGCTTGCCACCACTTGGCTGCATTTCCTTCCAGATGCATCACGACAGTTGTGACCTTCAAGGACTCTGTAATGTTGTATATTGTGAAATAGTTGCAGCAGTTGTCAATCCATATCTTGGGGCTTGTTCCATCAAACATGGAAAATTGCATTTTTGGAATGGAGTGGTGAGGTAACTAATCCTTGTTGAAATGACCATGGGTTCTCTTGGATGTGCCTGACTTGTGGTCATGAGTCGGGGCAGCAAACACATTATCAAACACAGTGTCTTCAGCTGAGACAACTGAGGCATTATCTGAACTATCCTCCAGTTTTTGTTTTTCCATTTGCCTGATTATCAGACTAGCCACTGCCTGACCATTGGCTTACACTTGCTTCGTAATTTTCTTCTGTTCCTCCTGAGCTGACGTGACATGAGTCTTGAGTTCTTGCTGAATGAGTCCCAAATCATTGATCTGAGCGAATAGCAGATCAAAGTTCCCCATAATCTGATCCCACCTTGTATTGCCCTCTTCACTGGTCTTAGACATAGCTTCCAAGATAAATTGGGTCTGCATGGATGGTTTCTTGGGAGCCGTTGTGACTGATACCGAGGTGCAACAACGGGTTTGGTAGCCTCCCCCTTAGCCTGTTACACCTGAACTCGCCGACTACGCCCAGAAGTGAGGCACCACCAAGGAATTTTACACAGAGACCTGCTCTGCAACCCGAGTGTGTGGACACTTCTTCGCCTTCGCCACCGCACAACAATCAGCACTGTGAGACTACGGAATTTCACACGGAAACGATGTTCCGAAACCCTCGTCTCGACTGACTGCTTGCTAATGAACAATCAGAGTGATGTGCCGTAGATCGATTGGATCTGAGCGATAGGAGGGGTGGATTGGGGCTGGTGGTGGTGGATCTAAGTAGGGATTGTAGGGAGGTGGTGGTGGTGGTGGTGGTGGTGGAAATTGCAGACCTCAAGCGGAGTAGTGCCACTGCCGGAGCCGACTCAGTTCAACCTAAAGGAGGGACCTCTGGTTCCTTCCGTCGAACACCTCGAGGGCGTTAACGGAGATCCCCTGCCCACCGGAATTACGAACTGCAGATCAAGGCGCCCGGTAGTGTCTCTATCAAGAAGAACTGAGCAACTGCGGTGAGGTGGGTAGAAGGTAGTCGTTTACCGGATGGTAGGAGTGATGGCGCCGCTGCGAGGCAGCCGTCGCCGGATAACTAGCGCGAAGAAGAGCTTAGGTCGCCCGTCGCCCCCCACGCCGAGGATAGACCGTCTCTGATACCACTTGTCACACCCCGTTGCCGTCGGTGATCACCGCCAACGTGAGGAACGCAAGAGGAACAGGAGATCAGGAAGACAGAGGAAATATTCCAGCTGCCGATGTCTGTATTCTAAAGTTCGATGATTACAGAGTTTTCACGGTGTCTCTTAAAACCGACTGGTTCTGCCCTCCCAGGCCCACATGTCATAGACTTGCATTACACAAACGATTGAATACGTAATTCTAAGTAGATAACGTCTTCCAGCGAATACGCTTCCTTCCGATAGCACTTCAGACAGTCATCGTTGTCGGTTTGACACTGCGGCGAGCTCGCTGCCAAGTCGGGCCTCCTCGCCTCCAATGCCTTCGTTCGCAACTCCGTCCTCTCCTTCTACTCCCGCCTCCCATCCTCCCTCGCCAGCGCCCTCCAGGTGTTCGAGGAAACGCCCGCGCCGCTCCGCGACGCCGCCGCGCGCAACAGCGTCCTCACCGCGCTGACTCGTGCGGGCCATCTCGACCGCGCGCAGCGCCTGCTCGAGGAGATGCCACGTATCCACCGGGACGCCGTCTCGTACACCACCCTCGTGACCGCGCTCGCTCGGGCGGGGCACGCGGGGCGTGCCGTGGCCCTGTTCCGCGGCACGCTCTCTGAGAATGTTGTTCCCAACGAGGTGACTCTCGCCGGTGCGATCATGGCGTTCGCTCGCCATGGGGCACCGGTGACAATGGGGATGATCCATGGTTTTGCTCTGCAGCGGGCGCTGGATGGATTCGTCATTGTAGCCACCAACCTGGTTCATGCATATGCAGGGGTGTTAGAGCTTTGTTCTGCCCGGGCCATGTTTGATGGGATGACACATAGGAACACAGTCACCTGGAACGCAATGCTCAATGGATATGTGAAGGCGGAGATGATAGATATGGCTGTGGAGGTGTTCTGGAGAATCCCAGAGCGAGATGAGGTATCTTGGTTGACATTGATTGATGGCTATATCTGTGCAGACCTCATATCAGACGCAATGAAGGCATATGTTCAAATGGTGGGTGAAGTCGGTACAAATGACAACGAGGTATTGCTTGTTGATTTGATGAAGGCGTGTGCTCGGTACTCTGCTGTTACAGAAGGCTAACAGCTGCATACAGTTATTCTGAAGAATGGTTTTGATGCCTATGCATTTGTGCAAGCGACCCTGGTCCATTTCTATGGTCGTTGTGGTCTTATTGGCCTTGCCCAGATGGCATTCAGATTGTCAGACAAGTCACACACAGCATCATGGAACGCTCTTTTGGCTGCTCTACTCAGGAAGGGCCTAATTCATGAAGCAAGGGAGCTGTTTGATGATATGCCTGAAAGGGACACTGTTTCTTGGAGTACAATGATTTCTGGGTATGTGCAGACTGGACGTTCAGACATGGCTTTGAAGCTATTCTATTCAATGTTGAATACGAGTGTTGAACCAAATGAGGTCACGTTGGCCAGTGCTCTTTCTGCAATTGCTGATTCTGGCACATTGGACCAAGGTAAATGGATCCATGACCATATAATGAACAGACCAATCCAGCTTACTGATAACCTGAGTGCTGGGTTGATAGATATGTATGCCAAGTGTGGCAGTGTTGCTGATGCAGTGCAGTTTTTCAATCGTGCCAATGATAAGTTCTCTTCCGTTTCACCATGGAACGCTATGATTTGTAGTTTAGCCATCCATGGTTATGCGCATATGTCGCTTGACCTATTTTCACAATTACAGAGGACCAGTATTAAGCCCAATTCAATCACATTCATAGTTGTTTTAAGTGCATGCTGTCATACTGGGATGGTAGCCAAAGGAAAATATTATTTCGAGTCCATGACGAGGGAATATGGGATCCGGCTAACAATTAAGCACTATGGTTGCATGGTTGATCTCCTTGGTCGAGCTGGGTACTTGGAAGAGGCTGAACAGCTTGTTTCAATGATGCCCATGAAAGCAGATGTTGTAATTTGGGGCAGCATCCTTTCAGCAGCAAGGGCACAAGGAAATGTCACATTAGGAGAGAAAGCTGCTGAAGAATTGGCAAAGCTCGACCAAACCCATGGCGCATCCAAAGTAGCCTTGTCTAACATTTATGCCGATGCTGGTCACTGGACCAATGTTTCAGTTGTGAGGAAAGAACTCGAGGATGAAAATTTTGAGAGACTAGTTGGAAGAAGTGGCATTGTACAGTAATAGGATAAATCTTTTCTCAGTTAGCTCTAAGTGGCAAGTGATGGCGGCAAACAGTTCGTTCTCTCTTTATTCTATTTTCTGAAGATGCTGTGACCATTGTTTTCTCTTGAAACAAAAGCAGGTGTGAACATGATGTGGTACCTGAAATATAGTTTTTTTTGTGTTGTTCTTTATTCATCTTTGATGGATGGGGATATTGATATTTCCTTATGCACCAGAAATTCTCTACTGCAGGACAGAGCTTCAGTTTCAGTGGTGCTAAGATCTATCATGGGAAGGGTGTCATATTTACCCGTGCAGATTCACAGGTGATTTGCTTACATAGTGAATTCTTGAAAGATTATGGGAATTGAATACAATGTCTAATCCTATTTTTTCTCTGAACTTTTGATGTGTTCCTTTTTTTGAAATCGAAGTGCAAATGCTACTTGCACAACTGGCTGAAGCCAGCCAAGCTCACATGGACAGCCATGTACATGAAGCAGCACAAGAAGGTATGGGAGTTACTCAGCTGAGGATATTTTGTTTTGGTTATTATCTGTTTGCACTGGATTATCACCAAATTTTAGTTATAGTATTACAAGTTTACAACTCTAGCGGCACTTCCAATGAACAGTGAAAAGACTAAATAGTTTGGTTTGGTAACTAGTTTTAGTCGTTAGTGTTGCTATTTTTTCACAAAATGAGTGGCACTGCAGAAGTTTATGTTGATTTATTCTATCCACCAGATCATCTATCACTGGTACAATGCTAATGTTATGACTGGGAAAGTATATCACCGAAGGAACCGTGGCTGAGCAGTGGGGCCACCATGAGGCTGGTGCCTAGTCACGTGAGGTTTAGTTATCAAGAGTCCTAGATTTCAGGAATTTGTTATTCAGTCAGTTTGTTATTTGAGTCAGGATTAGATTCAAGTTGATAGGATCAATTGTATAAGTACCAAACTCTAGTGCTTAATGAAAGGCAAGCCTGGGATTGAGACTCACGTCTCCCTTGGGCCCCCAGCCTATTCTCCTGCACGTATTCTCCTTTCCATCTACTCGCGAGAGCTCGACGCCGGCCACGGCACCTCCAGTTCGCCGGCGTCTCTTCAAGCCACGACCTCCAGTCCACCACCAGTACAATCTCAGGAGCCGAAGCGCTAACAACTTGGTATCAGAGATCATGGCTTCCTCTGGGACTTTCTCCTCCTCCGTTGTGCCCTCTACCGGCTCGGCCACGTCACCCGTCGCTTCCTCGGGCGCAACCACACTTCCCATCGTCTCGTCGGCTCCGGTGACAACCTTCGGAACGCCGGCGCCACCGCCAGCGCCGCCCACCATCGAAGAATCATTGGCTGCCCTGGTACAGGCGCAACAACAGATGGGCGCCATGTTTGACGGCATGCAGCGCCAGATGGGAGAGCTGTCTTTGCGGGTGGCCTCCATCGAGCCGTCCCTGGTCCGTCGGGACCGCCATTCTTCTGCAGATTCGATCCGCGCCGCCTGCGGTATGGCATGCCGGGGTATGGGGGCATCCCAGCGCTTCCGGCATCAGGGCCCGTCATCTCCGAGATTCTGCCTACGCCGCCATTGCCGGTGCCCACGACGTCGCTTCCGGTGTCACCAGCTGTAGGCTCACACCCGCCACAGACTGGCGTGCCGATCCAGTCCATTCAGTTTCCGTCTTCACCGTCGCCGATTCCGTCGCTGTCCTCCATCCTACACGGGCCGGTCTACTCGTCGGCCACGGTGCTCCATGACTTACCTCCTCGTCTGCACGGGCAGCAGCAGTCTGAAGGCGACGGGGAGAGCCATGGAGTCCCCAAGTACCACAAGCTGTCCTTTCCTGTTTATGACGGCAAGGAAGATCCCCTCGGCTGGTTAAACCGCTGTGAGTCGTTCTTCCGCGGCCAGTTGACTAAGGAGGCAGACAAGGTGTGGTTAGCTTTCCCACATGACCGGTGATGCCCAAAGAAGTGGTATTATATCATGGAGAGGACACCGGTGGGGCGTCGTGGGAGAACTTCGACTCTGTGTCACCAAATTTTGGGCGGCGCTCTCCACCAACCACCTCGCCGACCTTGCCCGACTGCCGTTCACTACGAATGTTGACGCTTACATGTCCGCGTTCGGTAGCGCTTAGCGCGCAGACGGCGGCCGCAGCCCCTCCAAAGAAGCTCGGCTATTCACGTGTGGCCTTCCGGAGCACATCGAAATTGACGTGGAGTTGCACGAACCTCGGGACCTCCATCGTGCCATGCGTTTGGCGCGTGCTTATGAGCGTCGTAATGCGGCAACAACGCTTCGCGCTCCTGCCCCCGTCGGCGGCCTCCACGTCGCCTCGCCCAAGGTCAAGCGCACCACCGTCCACGAAGGGTGTCGGGGTCCCGAATCGCATCATCAAGATCATCATCCACGACCCTTCGTGTTCCCGACACCAGCGAGAGATGAGCGAGCGCCGCAAACAGGGGCCTTTGTTATAATTGTGATGAGCCGTATGTGCAAGGCCATAAGTGCAAGCGTCTATTTTATTTGGAGGTCGCTGATTATATTGTCGAAGAGCCGATGATTCGGATGATGACAAGCAGCCCATGAACATCTGCTACTGAGACCTCCAACGATCTCGGCGGCTGCCATCGCCGGCGTCGGACGGAAGATACTATGCGGTATACGTCCGGATCGGCAACGTTCAATGTCTTGCGTTTCTTTGGACTCGTGGATCCACTCATAATTTCGTCCGAGAAGATGTTGCCCGCCGGGTCGGATTGCACTTCGATCCATGCCCGCCGGGCGTCATCGTTGCCAATGGGGATCGAGTAGCTGTCGCGGCCTTGCTCGTGGCGTGGGCATACGGATCGCGGATGAAAGCTTTTCGGTGGATCGCTACACGATTCCTTTGGACGAGATGGGATATGGTATTGGGCGTGGCATTCCTTCGCACGCGCTTGGGCCAATATTGTGGGACTTCGACGATCTCTCAGATGAGCGTTCACGCGCGGTGGTCACCGCGTGTTCGAGGGGAGTCGGTTCTACTCGCTTCGACGTCATATCAACGCAGCCTCAACTCGTCTCCGCGCCACGCGAGCAAGCGATTAGCTTGACAGTCGCTGCTCTCGCCCTTGAAGACGTCTTCTCCGAGCCTCGCGGGCTGCCCCGACCGTGAATGTGACCATCGCATTCATCCGAACTCAAACACGGAACCCGTTGCAGTGCGCCTCTACCGGTACCCACAACTCCAAAGGGATTACTCGAGCAACAGCAGTACAGCGATGCTACAACAAAGGCATCATACGTCCCTAGCACCTCGGCTTTCTCCGCGCCCGGTTCTCCTCGTCAAAAAGCAAGATGGCTCTTGGCGTTTTTGCGTGGATTATCGCGCCCTCAACAAAATGCAGATGGTGAAGGATAAGTTTCCGATTCCGTTGTCGAGGAACCGTTGGATGAGCTTGAGTATGCACGGTTCTTCACAAAACTTGACTTGCGCTCGGATATCATCAAGTGCGCATGCACGCAACCGACGTCGAGAAGACGCCTTCCGGACCCATGAAGGCCACTTTGAGTTCTGGTGATGCCCTTCGGGCTCACGAACGCTCCCGCCACGCCCGGGCCTTGATGAACACCGTTTCTTCGCCTGTATCTTCGTAAGTTCGTCTTGGTGTTTTTGACGATATTTTGATATACAGCCCTTCATGGTCTCTACACCTCCAACACATGAACTTGGTGCTCTCGGCCCTTCGGGATCACCAATTGCGGCTTAAACGATCCAAGTGTGCGTTAGCGACAACGTCCGTGGCATATCCGGGGCACATCATTTCATCGGACGGCGTCGCCATGGATGGCGAGAAGGTGGCGGCGGGGCGGTGGCGCAGCCCGCTTCGGTAGCGTGGTCTTCGTGGTTTCCTCGGCCTCGCGAGGATACTATCGCAAGTTTATCGTGAATTATGGAACTATTGCGCCCTCTCACCGCTTTACTTCAAAGGATGGTTTCACCGGACGGATGAAGCAACAAAGACATTTGACGCCTCAAACAAGCTCATCCCACTACGCTGTCAGACTGCAGCTTCCGATTTTGATCGGCATTTCACGATGGATTGTGATGCTTGGGCTCGGGTTTTGGGGCGATCCTACACCGAGGTCGAGCGCCTGCCTACTTCAACCGACCTTTTGCCGCCCGTCATTTGAAGTCGGCTGCATATGAGCCTTGAGTTGATAGGCTGGTCCAGCGGTTCGACACCGGAGGCCATACCTTTGGGGCGTTCGTTCACGATGCAGACGAACCATTATGCCTTGAAATTTTTGCTCGACCAACGTCTTTCTACGGTGCCGCAAACATCATTGGGTGAGTAAGCTTTTAGGCTATGATTTTGTGGTGGAGTATAGACCGGGCCACTTGAATACCGTCGCCGATGCCTTGTCGAGACGGGAGGATGAAGCTGCACATGTCTTTGGCTCTGTCAGACCTTCATTCCAACTCTATGATGACCTCCGTCACTAATCGGAGCATGATGCAGCCCTCCGCGCTCCGTGATTCGGTGGTAGCCGAAAGAGGCTCTCTGGCGTGTGGAGCATGGCCTCATCCTCCGGGGCTCACGAGTTTATGTGCTTGGCGGCTTCAAATGGCGCTACCAATGGTGCTCCAACTTGCCCATGAAGTGGGTCACGAAGAACTCGAAGACACTCCAGGTAGCTTGAGCCAGGATTTGTGGTTGATCATGATCGCCGGTTGGTTAGCGAGTTAATCCGTTCTGCCCGGTGCGCGGAAGAATAAAATGATCACCTTCATCCAAAGAGCCTCTTGCGGCCATTGCGGGTCCCAACGCAGTTTGGTCCGATATCGCTACCGGACTTCATCGAGGGCCTTCCTCGGTCGGTGGGAAGAGCGTCATACTCACGGTGGTTGATCGTTTCTCAAAACATGCTCATTTCATTGCATTGAGTCACCCCTACACTTCTTTGCAAGTGTCGCTAAAAGCTTCTTCAAGGGCATTGTTCGCCTCCATGGGTTTCCGGCCTCCATTGTCTCGGATCGGGATCCCGTTTCACCGGGAATGTGTGGAGAGATCTGTTCAAGCTTGCCTTTGGCGCCAAACTTCGGATGAGCACCGCATTTCACCCCAGACGGATGGTCATCCGAAGTCGCTCAATCGTACTATTGCCATGTATTTGCGGTGCATTATCGAGATCGGCCTCGTTCTGGATTGATTGGTTACCGTGGGCGAATATTGTTACAACACATCTTATCACTCCTCGCTCGGACGACACCATTTGAGGTGGTGTACGGCCGCCCTCCGCCAAATTTCTTCCGCCCTACACGGCCGGTAGATCGCACGGATCGAGGTCGTGGACGGCTTACTTCGTGACCGTGGCGACTTCCTTGCGAGTGCGGGATCGTTTGTTGCGAGCTCGAGCATATGCTAAGGAGTCCTATGACGCTTCGCCATCGGCCCCGGAGCTTCTTTGTGGGCGGCATCGGGTCCTCTTGCGGATCCTTCATTGTCCAAATTTCAGTCTTTGGCGCCGGGGTTTTGAGCAAGCTTCGCCCCTTCATTGGTCCATACCGGATCACGAACGTGTTGGACGGTGGCCTATCGTCTTTGTCTTCCGAGCACACGCGCATCCATGATGTGTTCCATGTGGGTGTGCTCAAGCCCTTCCATGGCACACCGCCGCCAGATCGACACCGCCGCTTCCTCCACTTCGAACGGCGGGTTCTTCATCGCCCTTCCCGTGCCGTCCGGGGTCACTTTCGTCGCGGTGTTTGGCACGTCTTGATTCAATGGGACGGTCTTCCGAATCATGAAGCTACGTGGGAGCCCATTGAGGAGTTTCGCGCCCTCTTTCCGGCGTTTCACTCGAGGACGAGCTGTTAAATGGGGGAGATGTTATGACTGGAAAAGTATATCACCGAAGGAACCGTGGTGACGAGCAAAGGGGCCACCATGAGGCTGGTGCCTAGTCACGTGAGGTTTAGTTATCAAGAGTCCTAGATTTCAAATTTGTTATTCATCGGTTTGTTATTTGAGTCGAGGATTAGATTCAAGTTGATAGGATCAATTGTATAAGTACCAAACTCTAGTGCTTAATGAAAGGCAAGCACGGATTGAGACTCACGCTCCCTTGGGCCCCCCACCTATTCTCCCCGCACGTATTCTCCTTTCCATCTACTCATGAGAGCTCGACGCCGCCACGGCACCTCCGATTCACGGCGTCTCTTCAAGCCACGACCTCCAGTCCACCACCAGTACAATCTCAGGAGCCGAAGCGCTAACAGCTAATGTGATTCTGTTGCTAATGCCTGCATTTGGCAACTGTTCTGTAATGTTTCATTTTGTGTGCAGAGGACATTCATGCTGAAGCTATAACGAAGAGGCGCCGCACCACCAAGAAACCTTACTCCAGGTCAATTATTGATGCCACCCTTGAAGTCATCCAGAAGAAGAGAACTGAGTAGCCAGAGGTTTGCAATGCTGCTAGGGAAGCTGCCCTTCGGTATGCTACTTTTTTGTGATCAATGATAGCTTTGGCTTCTTCCATGCCTTGTACAGATGGCTTGGTGTAGCCTACTTGTTTTTTTTTTTTTTTTGAAAACGCAGGAGAGCTGCGTTTCATTGTATTATAGAGAATGAAAAAAGGTGGGGTCCCCAACAGGATCCTCACTCATACGGGGACCAAATATGAATGAGGCGATTACACATACACAAGAATAAGACCCATAAAAACAAACCCGACACGACCTTAACTAGAAGGACCTAGTCTGAACAAACCTAGCCCTTCTAGCTTTTTTTCGCACTGACCAAACAAACACCAAAGGTCATGTGCTCATTCTTCAACTCACTCCAAATCAAGTTAATCGAAGGTGAGGCCCCCTCAAAAACACATGCATTTCTATGTTTCCAAATAATCCAGGCCCCAAGAATAATTAGAGAATTCACTCCTTTCCTGTGCTCCTTGTTAACTCTGTTAATAGTCTTGCGCCACCAATCAGCAAAAGCTTAGTTCGTTATGGTGGGGACACAATCACTAGGTTCAAAATAGAAAATAATCTAAACCAAACTTGTCTTGCCACCACACAAGATGTTAACAGATGTTGTATTGTCTCATCTTCTTGATCGCATAGGGGGCATTTATCCGGATGAGAGAGGCCCCTCTTAGCGAGCCTGTTTGCCGTCCAACATCTATTACGGATTGCCAACCACATAAACATTTTGCATTTGCTTGGGGCCCAGGACTTCCATAACCGATGCCAAGGTTCAAAGGTCACAAAGACCACGTAAAAAAGCGCTTTATAGGCAGATTTGGAAAAGTAGCAACCACTTGAATCTAGCCTCCATGTGTGACGATCCTCTTGGTCGATTAAGGTAAATCCCAAGAGACAATCCCATAGTCAAGCAAGAATTCTCTAATACCAGTCCAGAAAGGCCTCCTTGAATATCTCTTGGCCATTGCACATTGGTGAGAGCTGCAGCCACAACAGGTCCAAAGCTATTGCGAATTCTAGGAGAAACACAAGCATAGACAGATGGCGCAAGATTTTCAATCGAACACCCGTGAAGCCACCGATCAGTCCGAGAAAAGAGTATTTTGACCATTCCCAACCTCGACCATGACTGCAATGGCAAAAAGGGCTAGCGAGTTAGAGTGCGAGGCGCCCATATCGCACCATGGACGATCGACTTTAGTCTTTTTAAACCATTGCCACCTGATTTGTAAAGCCCAGCCATCACCTCCAAGTTGGGTATGCCCAAGCCACCAAGATCCAATGGTCTCATGACCTTCTCCCAAGCCACCGACAACAACCTCCATTAGCCTTATCCTTTCCTTGCCATAAGAAGCCCCTTCCGATTTTGTCTCTCGCCTTGATGAACCATTTCGGACGCTGATGGCAATTAACAAATGAATAGGCATGGCGAAAGAACACACCGGACTAATGTGGCACGACCAGCCCTGTTTCATGAGAGCTGCCTTCAAAGACGGGAGTTTATCACTATTTTCTCAATCCATGGCATAAGGTCCCTCTTAAGAAGCTTTTTGTTTGACAAAGGTAAGCCAAAATACTTGCATGGGAACACCGAGATAGTACATGGCGAGAATATCATGAATAGTCATCAAGGACTCTCCCACACAACCGATGGGGATGATGTTACTTTTCCGAATATTGGTATGCAACCTCAAGCGTCACCAAATACCTTGAGAATATCTCTAGTGACCAACAACTCCTCTTCAATTGGCTTAATAAATATGGCAACATCATCAACATACAAAGAAAAGTCTTTGTCCAGCCACCCTTGGGGATAGCAAATTTAATGACCCCAAGACTTGTTTGCCTTTACAAATAAACTGCTCAAAGACATCCATCACTAAAACAAAGAGCATGGGGGATAAAGGGTCCCCTTGTCGAAGACCTCGCGATGATGTATTAGATCTCCGGTTCTCCATTCAACAAGATTTGAGTTGATGAAGAGGATAACAGATTGGCCACCAAATTGCGCCAAGAATTTCCAAAACCCAAATGTTGCAGCACTTCTAAGAGAAACGGCCACGACACCGAATCAAAAGCTTTGGAGATATCCAATTTAAGAAAGAGGCTAGGCACCTTTTGTCGATGTAGCACCTTAACTGTTTGCTGCACTAGAATGAAGTTATCATGAATGCATCTTCCCCGTACAAATGCACTTTGATTAGAAGAGACTAACGAGTCCAATAAGGGGCCACCGATTAGCAAGAATCTTAGTTAAAAGTTTACAAGTCATGCACTAGGCTAATGGGGCGAAAAATCTTTCGCAGCCACCGCATCATTCTTCTTCGGAATTAGAGTGATATAAGCTGCATTTAACAGTCCAAGCCTCCTTGCTTGACCTTGCTGAACCATGATAATTGCCGCCATGAGATCTGCTCTAATTACCCGCCAACATGCCTTGTAAAATCTGCCAAGATACCCATCTCGACACGGGCTCTATCTCGATGGCATAGACTTGATAGTTTCCCAAACTTCTTCCTCCATGATTGGATTATCAAGAGCGACAAATCCATAGAATTCGATGAAAGAATTGCAGGTCTAAGGGCGCAGATTCGGATCGGGCTGAACCTATCAGATTATCATAAAAATCATACAATATCCTATGTTTATCCTCCTGGGAAGTGACAGTCCGATCACCATCTATGAGTTTGGAGATAAAATTTTTTCTCTTCCGAAAAACAGCCTGCTTGTGGAAGAAGGATGTATTAGCATCACCCTCCTTTAGATACCTGACCCGGGAACGAAGTCTAGCAACAGTTTGTTCTAAAGACGCTAACTTCAGGCAAAGTCGCTTCAATTCCTTTCGCAGCCAGTCCTCTCCAATGGATAGAGTCCTCCTATCTTGGGCCACTTCCAGCCTATGCAACACTTCACGAGCTAGAGCAAGTTGAGTTTTTATGTGTCCAACTCTTTTTGCACCCCAGGATTGCAAAGCACGAGTTAATCGCTTCAGCTTGATGGAGAAACATTCCAGAGGGCAAGATGTCTGAACTGGTTCATCCCAAGAACTCTTTACCATGTCAAGGAATCCAGGAAGGCGTGTCCAGAAACTTTCAAAATGAAAACGCCTCCTACCCTTGACACCAACTTTAAGACCAAGGACAAGAGGACAGTGATCAGACATTTCAGTCGCATGGCTTTGTAATATACAGTTAGGGTATAAGTCTTCCCAATCTGTAGTACACAACACTCTATCCAACTTGACAAGAGTGGGGGAGGCTCTTTCATTTGACCAAGTATAACGACGACCCAACAGAGGTATCTCTTTCAGTTCCATCTCATTCACAAAGCGACGAAATCTTCCCATTAGTGCCCTATTGATATTATCGTTGTTTTTATCTTCCGAACTGTAAATCATATTAAAATCCCCAGCAAGCATCCAAGGTCCAACACAAAAACTCCTAACTTCACGCAACTCATCAAGGAAAGCAGGTTTCTCTGCATCTTCATGAGGACCATAAATTCCAGAGAACCACCATGGCTGCTGTCCATGATCCTGGAATAAGACCGAAACTGAATGCCTATGCACTCGATAGTGTTCAACATTGGATGATCCATCCCACCAAGCTACCAGAATCCCTCCTCTTGTTCCTTGAGCTGGCAGAGCGACAAAGGAACTATAGTTCTGCCCCAAAATAGATAACACATCACGCTGGGAAAAATGAGATAATTTGGTCTCTTGCAAACATACTATCATCTGCTGACAAGACTGCACTACTTGGTGAACCATATCCCGGTGGCTTTTGTCATTGAGTCCACGAACATTCCAAATTAAAATACTAGAAGAATCCATAGATAACAAGATTGGATCGACCAACTACAGGAAATCAAACAACAAGAATGTCATCTGCAGCCCGCACTTCATCGCCAGGAGGTGCATCCCACCCGAACAGGACAGCCAATGCCTTCAGATGTTCCCTGGATAGAGGTTGGTCAAACAAGGTGGCGTAGTGTTCCATGGCGACAATAGAAACCCTTTCTTCACCATCAGCAAAGCCTAATTGACGGCAAACTGATACTGCCGCACTATGATCAGCTGTTGTTGGAGGAAGATTAGCAACACGGCAGCTCCGTCTTGGCACAAAGTTGGATGGCAGGATCTTCTTCCTTCTCTTAGGAACTGGGGGGCCCGGCAGGATAGCGTCCACCGGTTTAACCACCTTGAAAACAAAGGCAGCAATTGGGGAGGCCGGCGGAGATGACATGACAGGTTCGGTGGAACAGGGAACCGCAGCATCGGAGACCAACACGCCCCCCTGAACGCCACCAACAGGAACTTGAAGAGCTTCCCTGACGGGCGGAGACACAGGCCCTGCTACAACGCCTGACTGAACGAGAGGAAGTTCAGTAAGCGGAAATGGGGCCTCGCCTTCCACACCCGCAGGACGTGGCTGTTGTGAGGCAAAAGAAGAGGACTGCACATTATCGTCCACCAAGGTGACAGGAGGAACCATGCTGACATGAATCAAACGTGCAGAAACAGACGGAGACATGACCACGCCATCAACGCACCCAAGCCCCCGAGGGGTCTGGTGCGGAGACACGGCCACGCCATCAACGTCCGCCTCCTCGGCCACGGCTACCACGTTCCGTCGAAGATCAGGGAGCGGAGCCACAACCACGTCGTCCCCTTCAGCAACACGCATTCGTCGCCTGGAATAAGTCTTGATAACGGAGGGAACGTCGGGTTCCAAAGAAACTCCAGTGGGGGCGACCATCGGTGAGGAGCGCAGAGCCGCCAGGACCGGGGCATCAATAGGGATGATGTCCGGCGATGGAGAAGCCAGGAGATCGGACTGCTCCAATTGGCCATCAGCAACCAGAGGTGATTCTGGGCCTGAATGCACAAGACTGATAGATATCATTTCAGGTACTTGGGCCGAGACAGAGCCCACAACCCCAGAGCCGAACTCCACGCAGTCATCCCCACCGATCTGTGCCGCACCCGACATCCACAACTAAAATCCCGGCATGCCTGGGATCACTTCCTCTTCCCCAAACCGTGGCATAATGACTAGGGCCGCCATATCATCAATTACAGCCGGCAGAAACGAGGCGGGCGAGAAAATTGAAGGAGCCTGCGTCGCCTCGGGCACAGAGCGAAGCGAGCCATCAACCGGCTCGACGTAGACCGGGCCCAGCCGCCGATGCACAGGGACCCGTGTAGCACCATCAATGGAGGCACCGGAATCAGGAGCTGAGGACTCCGGTGGATCAGGTTCGTACCGCCGGCGACGTCGCCTACCATGGCCAGGATCATCTTGCGAGGAGGCGGGGGCGGAACGCCGTTCACCCCTGACAGCGGAGCCACAGAAACTGCAACTTTGATTTCATAACTCAATGCGCGCTTCAAATCTTCATCATGCACAGGGGGCTCGACGATGTCTAAGTCCATGACCGCCGGGATGAGCTCCGGCTTGGAACACCAAGCCTTGAGCCGAAAGGACGAATAATCCCGCCGATCGACCGTATCAGGATGGAGCTCATGAACCCAGCACCATTCATCAAGCAGGTGCTCCGCCGTCTCGAGCTCCCAGGCGTGCGCCGGTATGCCTCGCAGCTCGACGTCGACAAGCGAGGGCAAGACCACTGCGGACGCATTCTTGAACCGGGACCAACGTCGGAAGTAGAGCGTGAACGGCGGCAGCAGCAGTGGCCGCCCTTCGTTGTAAACTCGAATAGCTGTAGGTTCGTCAGGGAGAACTAGCAGGCCATCATCACGGCTCAGATGGTGAAACTCCAGCGACTCAACCGGGAGTTCATAGCGACGAGCAAGATCATCCACCAGAACATCAACCGATAGAGACACCAAGTCTCCAACGATCGCGACCGAGAGCGCCTTGCATAGCTCGTCCTCGGCCCTGGCCATCCTAGCCGAGCGGTCGAGGATACGTCGGTGCCGGGCAAGAATGTCAGCGGAGGGGGCCTGAACACCAACGTTGACAGCAGCAGCAGGATCGCCATTATCATCATCAGCTTGGCTAGGAGACCCGCTCTGTCCAGCAGCGCCAGAACGCCACCGCTTCCTGACACGGCGTCGATGTCGCCTGGACGTACTGTGGTCTGCCGCAGCACCAGACCCATCCAAGCCGGGTGAGGTCTTCGTGACCACCATCTTCTTAGCGCCCAGGTCCCTGGGCGTTGCCTTTGGCCGCCAGACAAGGCGTCCCCGAGGCGCTGCCGAGAGTAGAGCCTGTCCACGACCAACACAGCTGAACGCACGATGCCCTATCTCGTGGCACTTGAAGCAGCGAGGACCCTCACGACAGACGGCGGCGCGGTGAGAGGTTGCAAAGCAGTTGAAACACCTCCCTTTGAGGTCCTCTGGGACCAGCCGACGGGAACCGCGCGACTCCTTCAGGCGCTTCTTGCGGGCATGGCGGCTTTCGTAACGCTGCCACCCGGACGCGTCAGGTCCATCTTGGACGAACGCCTGACGAGGCCGCGCCAAGAGGACGACCTTCGGTGGCCGTAGAACCTGCACCTCCGCCAGCTGCGACAAGGGAGATGATGAGGCGCCACCAGATAGCAGGACCTCGCGATACGACGGGGCGGAGGGGGAGCCACCCGCAGAAGAAGATGGGCTAGCGTCGCGCCACCGCTCGCCTTTGGAACGGCCAACCTGGGACAGCGGAGAAGGGGAGGAGCCCGGCACCTGGGAGGAGAGGGGAGCCTGCGGATGCACGGCTGAGAGGGTGGCCGTCGGGCCAAGGGCAGGCACCGACGTGGGGCAGGTGGAGGAGGAGGTGCCGGGAGGGGGAGGGGTGGGAGCGAGAGTGGCCATCACTCCTTTAGCCTACTTGTTTTCATTCCACTTTTTCATTGTTGGTGATCAATTGATGACACTTATATTCTTTTTTTTTCTGATCCTTCACTACCAGCTATTTGCAAGCTCGTTTAATCTGATATTTCAAGGTATGTTTTAAGTACAGATACTTACCATTATGTTGTTCAAACCATATTTAAAGAACTCTAGTGCTCTAGTGCATTTTTTACTATCACAGTCTGAGTACAATTAAATATTGACCCAGAGTATTTTGCAGCAGATGGTGTTGATATGCTGAGAACTAACTGGGGTCAAGCTTCACCAAGTTTCAACGATCTCGCTTGCAAATACATATATCCACCCTTTATTGCTTTCTCCAGCACCAGATCTAATGACTGGTGCTGTGAGCCTTGCAAAAGAATTTTTTATGTACCCAATGAGGACAACCAACTATTGCACTGGTCACATGCACTCAAGTCTAACTTCAGCCCTTATAAAAAAAAAGGTCAAACTTCTGCCTTAGACCACCATGGCATTACATCACTCTTAACTAGCACACTAGTAGAATTTGAGTTTGGGGGATCCATGTTTGTTGTTTCTTACTGAAAATGTAAAAACGCATGACGTATTGTACTCTTCTTGTAACATTGCTGTTAAAGTCAAACATTAGACTGAAAGCCGCCCTTGTTTCTGTTCAGGTTCCATACGTGGAGCGGTGGAGGCGGCCCCTCAGTTTGACGGTTATTGTTCCTTCATCTTCCCAATGCGGCAATGCCTATCGCTCCACCTGGCGCGTAGAGGGACCCCATTTGAGTGCGGCAGCTCTGTTTTGGGTGGATCGTCATTATGTACAACATTGCTTCTGTAGCAGATGGCATGGTCATGGTCCTCATTTGTGTTTGTAACATTAGTAGCAGTAGCAGTAGCGTGAGGTAGCAGCTTGGTACCCATTGCATCGTTTCTTTTCTTCCGTCGTGTAATCAATCAATTATTAAGCATGCGACGACAGACTTGTGCTGTGTGTCCGTTGGCTGCAGGTTGGTTTGCTCTGCTGCTGGCAATGGGTCAGCCATTGTTGTACATGAACTATCACCTCCTCTCTTTGTTTCATGTGTTATGGGTGTATAATTGTTTTAGCCCATCGGCCATCTGGAAACAACAGCATGTATCGTGAAAATCGACCGTCTCCTTTTTCTGCAACTTTTGACTCTGATGACAGGAATGTCTGATCACACGTCACCGATTCACCGTGCTCTACTGCACTGATGTTTCTTTTTTTCAACTTTTTTTTCCCGGCGTGGACTCTATGCCTACAGTTTCCTTGCAATGATTAAAGGCTTGTCTTGTGCACTCCTGGTGTTGTTAACTTGAGCCTCGATCTGTGTTTTGTCACTGAACAGTGGGACCAAGTCAGCTACTAGGGCCATGCTGTATACAGTATTCAGCCCAACGGGCCTTGGGGCCGTCAAAAGAAGCGCGAAGTTACCAGGAAGCCGCGTAGAACCGCGGGCCCCGCAGAGATTGAGAGCGCTTAGCTTAAGTAGCCGGAGCATTGGGTTGACCCGGCAGACGACACGCCACCAGCACCAACCATCCGGCGAGATGGAGACCCCGCCGCCGCGCCGGTGGCCGCCGGGCTTCCGCTTCAGCCCCACCGACGAGGAGCTTGTTCTCTACTTCCTCAAGCGCCGGATCGCATCCGGCCGCCCCTCTCCCTACGTCGCCGACGTCGAAGTGTACAAGTCACACCCCTCCCACCTCCCCGGTACGCGTCCTCCTTCCCCTACCCCTCACCCCAATCGATCGCTTTTTGCAATCCCTCCGGCAGCCTCTTGACCGCGAGTTATTGGTGCTGCACTGCAGAGAGGTCGGCGCTGCAGACGGGGGACAGGCAGTGGTTCTTCTTCAGCCGGATGGACCGCAAGTACCCCAACGGCTCGCGCGCCAGCCGCACCACTGGCGACGGATACTGGAAGGCCACGGGGAAGGACCGCTTCATCTGCGGCGGCGGCCGGGCGGTGGGCAACAAGAAGACGCTAGTGTACCACCACGGCCGGGCCCCGCGCGGGGAGCGCACGGACTGGGTCATGCACGAGTATACCCTACTCGCCGACGCGCTCCCGCCGGCCGCGCAGGGGAGGGAGTCCTACGCGCTGTACAAGCTCTTCCAGAAGAGCGGCGCCGGGCCCAAGAACGGCGAACAGTACGGTGCTCCCTTTCGTGAGGAGGATTGGTTGGATGATGACGATGAGGGAGTGACTGCGGATGCTGCCGCTAATTCTGTTCCTAACACCAGCAATCCACCATCTACAGTGGAGGAGCATGCAATTACTGACCGTGAGCTTCCAGTTGAGGATCTTGATGAACTCCTGTCAAATTTTGGAAATGATCAGGAGGAGTTTAGTGAAGCACAGCCTGCTTCTTCCCATGGTCAAGGTCAGGGTTGGCTCAGTGAGGGGGGTGACAAGGCTGAGGTTGTGGATGCTTCCATTAGCAATGGTGCTGTGGTAGTAGCAGAGAACACCTGCACTGAACTCCCTCTTGGGGATATTGAGCAGCTTCTGATGCAAATATCTGATGATCAACAAAACACTGAATTGTTCTTGGATTTATCAACATCAGTTCCAGAACTGCAGTTCCAGTCCGATGATCGTCAGGTTTGGCTTGATGCCGACAGGGGACATGAAGTTTTTGCTGCGGATCCTACTGCCTGCAGTAGTGCTGTTGTAACTGCAGAATGTACTGACACAGAACTTCCACTTGGGGATCTTGAAGGACTTCTGCTACAAATAGCCAATGACCAGGACATGGTTGAACCCCAATCAGATCTCTCTGCATCAATTCCACGTCATAATCTCAATCAGGTTTGTTTTGCTGTGTATACGACTGTAAATTATTCATCATATCAGGCCATCCTTTAGATGATTAGAAATCACAACGTATTGCAGCGTCATGCTTATACTGCTTATATAGAATTGCTTCGGTTTAGACCTTTAAGATGCATAATAATTTCTGTTGTCTTGCGCACGTGTCAGAATATGTTTCTTACCTTGCACGATGGAGCTACATCTAGTAATATGCATGTAGTATTTTACTCTATGTTTCCTATTCATAAGACAGTTATTGACTTGTGTAGGCTGGCATTGGGGATTTACATGAGCCGAGTAGTCAATTTCCACAGTCTAGTGTAACCAATTTGCCATTTACCGGAGAAACTAATTCTTCTGAAGGGACCAGTGTGGCACATTCCGTGTCAGGTTTGATCAGTTACCGCAGCCAGGATGCTGATGAGGAGTTCCTTGAAATCAATGATTTCTTTGATCTGGAGGATGTAGGTCAGAATGCAAATTGTACGACAACTGAGTACTTGATATCTGCAACAAATGGGATGTTTGACAATTTGGAATACTCTGATGCTCCTTCGTTTCTACCTGGACCGTTTGACACAGTTGGATTGGTAGCTGAAAATCAATTTTTTGATATTGGTAACAGTGGAATTCAGAACCAGGGATATCAATATACAACCGAAGTAAGGACACATAATCAGCCTGCTCTTAATGTGCGGAGCCATATGAAGCATGATCATGTAGTCTTATCCTCGCATGCATCAGGTGCCTAATTATTTCTTTTATATTTTTAAACATTTTCGTGTGGCTCGAAACTCAATTTCTTCTGATATCTGATGTGGCCCATTACCCCTTAGCAGGAACACTGAATATTCATGCAGCAAATGAGCTACATAACCAGAGCTCCACAGCTTCACAATCATGGTTCAATGCGGCTCTATCAGCCTTGTTGGACTCTGTACCTAGTAGTCCAGCATTAGCTGCTGAAATCGAAAACACTGTTATCAACAGAACACTCCAGCGCATCTCTAGCTTCCGATCACAGCAAACTGCAGGTGAAGAAAACACTTTTATCAACAGAACACTTCAGCGCATCTCTAGCTTCAAGTCACAGCAAGCAACAAGGGAAGAACCAGGCACCCCAAGTATTCAGGTTACCAGAGGCGGCAGACTGATGTTCATCTCTCTACTGGTTATACTTGCTTCTATTATATGGACCTTTACTTCTGGCTCTGCCCTCAATTTTTGCAAGGGTTTATGGAAATCCTCTTCTACGTGACACAGATGAAGTGGCAACCTGGTGACCTTGTCCTCTGTAATTTTTTTGGTCCTCGGTATCAGTTCTGGTTTGAATATCCCTACCCTTTCAAAAGGGTGAAGTGGTAGAAACATTTTGAGGGTGGTACTATGATTATAGGTCTTAGAGCTTATTTAAAATGGTAAAATGCAAGGAAAAAAGCATATCCGATGGTAATATTTGAAACTAATGAGTTACTGTCCTCATTGTATTTTGACAGATATATGTACTGAATGTAATTAAACTATTATTATAGCTTCAGTTTATGTGCATAACATCATAATAGTATTCGGGAAAGAAAATTCAACATTGCACAGCTCGACATCCCATGTCTATGTAGATCTCTCTCTCTCTCTCTCTCTCTCTCTCTCTCTCTCTCTCTCTGCATTTAAAGAAGAGTTAAATGCATCGTAGGTCCTTGAACTTGTCTTGGGGTGCCACTTAGGTCCACAAACACTCAAATCTTACTTCTGTTACGTTAATGTTGTTTAAGTATGCCACTTAGGTCCATAACTTATCGGAACAAGGTTTTAGTCGACGTGGCGTGGACAACGTGGCGCTGACTGTGTCCAAGCGCACGTGAGCCGCGCGTGAGCCTGGTTTGGGGCGTGCAAATAAGCAGAGAGGCCACCCAGTTCTTTTCATATCCTCCATTTCCCCTCCTCTCTTCTCTGTCTCTGTCTCTCTGCCCAAACTCACTCTCCAAGCCGCTGCCGCCGCCTTGTCGATCTACTCCATGGCGCCACCAGGGAGCACGTCGTGCTCCAATAGGCGTGCGGACGGCCTTCCCCTCATCTTGTGCATCGAATGCGGCGGTCGAATGGTGGTGAGGCGCGTTTCCACGCAGCCATGGAGTGCGGGGAAGGTATTCTATTGTTGCCTAGACCATAAGGTGAGTTAGGGTTTGATGATTCAAATCTTTGGCACTTGGATTGCTGTGTCCTTGTTGCAATTGAGTTGGATTTGGTTATCTTGGCAGAGGGATGGCAGCGGGTGTCCATTTTTCTACTGGGAAGCAGACTACATCAAGCACATCTTAAAGATGCTGAAGGAAGGCGGCAATGGCACATGTGAAGCCCAGTCCAAAGGAGAATCAAACCAACGTCCCTATGCTGGCCTGATGGACAATGCAGTGGCCAACAAAGCTCAAGGAAATCAAGGGAAGGACCAAGACGTAGTTCGTTTGCTGAATGTGATATGTGTTCTCTATGTGTGTATATTTGCTGAATGTGATATGTGTTCTCTATGTGTGTATAGTGTTAGCACTTGTGTTAGTTGTGGTTGTTCAGTTGTGCAAATAAACTCAGTCACAACTGTGTAAGAGTACTCATTGTGTAATGTGAACATCAAAAGCAATGGAAACCATCCTTTTTATCTCAATTTTCCATCTATTTCATAGTTCACCTGATAGCAGTAATAGCATCCATGTGCACATACACTGTTTTGGTCAGTGATTCATGTGATGATCTAAACAAAAGACTATTGCCACCATCTCAAACATTGTTCTGGGGCCATGATAAGCTTTACAAAAGATTGTACAGCACAATCTAAAGCCTTATGCTGGTGCTGAACAAAAGCACAGAAGGACTACACAAAAGCACAAAATGACTTATCATCTTCTACTGCTGGTCTATAGACTTTGGACATCAGGTCTTCTTCTTCTTATGGTCTCCTCCCTTCTTCTGCTGACCTTTGGACTTGTCACCCTGCTTGGCACTTCTCTTATATGTTGTTGACCTCCCCAGCTTTGTTGCAGTTGTAGGTGGCAGTGGTCTTGTGGTTGGCAGGTTTGTTCCAATGAATGCAGAGGCTGGCATGGGTTCCTGTTGCCTCACCATGCTACTGGTCTGTGAAGACTGAAAGAAAACAAGTGTTGTTAAATGTGACAATAGTAGTTGTTAAAGCATAGTGTCCTACCTCTTCTTCTAGCTGTGAAAGCATAGTGTTTGTTAAGTGTGACAGTAGTGGTGTGTTGGTTTCTGGAAAATGAATGGCAACCTGCAAGCATAGACAGTTAGTTGTGCAAGCATAGTGTAAAATTGGTGTATTGTGAGTAAAATATTTGGTCAGTCCATACTACCTGTGTAATCACTGGTTCTTCGTCTAAGTTGTCATCCATTTGCTGTGTAGCGTCCTCATCTTGTGGTTCTTCCATAGTTTTCCTCACAGGCTGCAGTTTGGGCCTTATTCCTGACTTCCTTAAATGATAGCCTGCTCTGTTGTGGCCTTGATCCCCATAGTAGCTACAAGTCATTTGCATTCCATGCTTTGACATTTTTGTTCCACTAGTTCCTTCTAATTCCACTAGTTCTTTCCTTCTATTCTTAGGAGGTGTGCCCACTTTCTTTTCGTATAGAGGAGGAAGCACAACAGGAACTCCTTGAACCTTCTCCCAAATAGACTTGTCAGCACATGGATAGATCTTGGGACCATATGCAATCAGAAATCTTGCTGAAGTATAGCAGTCATGGACCATTGTTTCAGTGGGTATCCTTTCATGCCTTAGGCAAGAAATGGCTGTGAACAAGGTATACCAGTGAGATCCCACCTTCTACAGTCACATTGTTTTAGCCCAATGTTAACTACTAACCGATACTCACTATCCTGCACCTGAAATATACCATGTCCAGAAGGTGCTGCAAAACAAGTGTTGGCAAACTCTGAATTCTTCTGAACCTTCTTCCTAATCTTTGGGCAGATTGGTCCCCGCCACACTTCTCCAACCTCTTTCTCCTTGTTGTAGTACCTACTCATCAGTTGGCCCTTGATGTGCTCCAACAAACTGAGAATTGGTATTTCTCTAACATCCAAGATATAGTTGTTGAAAACCTCACATCTATTATTTAAAAGTATGTCACACTTGCTATAAGTGCTAAAAAATGCCCTCACCCAAGTGTTTGGAGCCATCATTTCTAGCCACTCATATGCCTTCTGGTTTAGTGCCCTCATTTTGCCCATGTTTCTATTCCATTGATCCACAGTGGTGGACCTAGCACATTTCCATAGTTATATCTTCAAGTTCTTACCTTTGAAGTGCTGCTGGAAGTTGTTGTACAAATGTCTAACATAGAATCTATGCTCAGCTTCAGGGAAAACTTTACTGTATGCTGGAATGAGGCCTTGCACACAGTGAAAAAATGAATTAGGTCTAGAACATCAGGTAAATAACAATAAGAGTTACTATAACAGCAATGAATCATCAAGTTCTCACCTTTTGTTTGTCTGTCATAAGTATCCATGGATATGTGTTTTCAATGCCAAGGTCTGCCTTCAAAGTTTTTAAGAACCATTTCCAAGTCGCTAGTGACTCAACTTCAACAATTGCTAGAGCTATTGGATAAATACAATCATTAGGATCAATACCTACAACTGTCAGCATTATCCCCCCATACTTGGTTTTCAAGTGACATCCATCCAAACATATTAAAGGTCTGCAACCCTCAAGGAAGCCCCTCTTGCAAGCATCAAGTGACATATAAAGTGAGGTAAAAAGATTACCATTAAGGTTCAGATACAATGTGCTGCCTGGATTGGTCCTTCTTAGTTCTTGAGCATAGTCTCATAGTAGCTTATATTGCTCTGCTTCATCACCCATTACCCTTTTCATTGCTACTCTTCTAGCTCTCGCAAGCTTTGTCCTAGCTGGTGTCAGATTCCACTCTTTTTGCACTATTCTAGCAAAAATCCCTAGTGTCATCTTCTTATCAGCTCTGAAAGATTCCAAGTATTTATCAGCAAGCCAATTGGATGTGCACCTCTTTAATACCCACTTCTTGTGGCAGTTGTGCTCACCACAAAAAGTCTTTATCATCATTCCATGAGCCCTCCTATCATCTGAAGCATACAAATTCCAAGGACATCCTTTCTCACATATGGCTCGTAGCCTCTTCTTCTTATTTCTTGGCATCTTAATATCCACCCTGTGCTTCATACTATATTGTGTAATAGCCTTCCTTAGCAACTCTATAGACTCAAAGATCATTCCTACTTTGAACACTGGATTGACCAAGTCTTCATGCTTGAATGACATGAAATTGAATGTGACATTGTTTTCAGCATCAGAGTTTGGAACCATTAACCCTTCATCATCAGTTGAGAAATCCTCATCACCTCTGCCCACCACAACTTGAGCTCTCTTTCCATTGGGTACCTTCTTTCCCTTGGCAACTCCTTGATCAACCACTTGGTCATCAACATTATCCATGAATAAATCATCATCTTCATTAGCCAGATCATAATCACTATCTTTAAAATCCGAGTCATCTTCACTAGAACTATACTGCACATCATCTTCATAAGTTGCATCCACATCATCAGGAATATTGTTCATGTTCCTGTTCTGCACTCCCACTCTACAGGGGCTCATAACCTTGGGCATTGACCTTATTGGGTTTGCCACAATGTCATCCCAATCCAAGCCAGCTAGAGAGTCATCATGATCAGCATACAGAACAAATGTCCTCACTCTACCTACCAGAGAGGCCATCACCAAGGTATCCGAGTCACTAAAAATCAACCTAATGCCATCTGAAATATCTTTCCCAGGTAAAAGCCAGTACATCTTCAAATTTGGGTTCTTCGGGTAGTGAAGCATGAACAACAACTCATTAAACCACACTGGAGACCAAGTGCCTACCTCATAATGATCCAAGCAGTGAACTTGCCCACCAACATAGGCCCGATTAACTCCTGTTCCAGTAAAAAAACCTCCATGATGCATCTCAACTGTGAACTCACCACTATCAGCTTCTAAAATTGGAAAGATTGCTAACAAATTAGGGAAGATTCATACAAACCAAGCCATCTAACATTATTGGGAGAAATAACAGTTCAATCCCAAACCCTAGACGAACCAAAATCATAAAAGATGGTAAACATTTGCCATTCCGATTCACAACACCATCTAACTACATTCAATGCGAAGACCAGGATTACCACAAAAAGAGCTCAAGGGGATTCACTCACCATACACAGGTCGGTCT